TGGCGGATCCAGAAATTCGGTAAGGTGCATGCTCCTATTAAGGTGGCCGACTGCCTCGTCTGCTTACCTCTGGTGGGCTGGGTTTGTCATTTGATTTGTAAATTTTTGAAGCACAAAAAGGAAGTCTTTGCAGTTAGTGTGTCTGTCTGTGTGTCTGTGTGTGTGTCTGTGTGTGTGTGTTCCTGTTCCACTGATATCTCAAGAACCACTCATTGGATTTTGATGAAACTTGGTACATAGATGCTCTGGGCCAATGCGCAGATTTGATTAGGTTTTGGTAAAAATCTGTGCAATATTAATTACCTAATTTGCATAATGATTAATCAATTTTTGGCTTTTCCCTGATATCTCAAGTAGTAATCATCACATTTCAATAAAACTTGGTACATAGATGTCATAGAACACTGCACAGATCTGATAGTTTTTAGGGTAATATAAGTACATATTAATTACCTAATTTGCATAATTATTTAATTTTCAGCTTTTGATATTTCAAGTAGTAATCATCACATTTCAATGACACTTGGTACATAGATGTCATAGGGCACTGCACAGACCTCATAGTTTTTAGGGTAATATCAGTACATATTAATTTGCTAATTTGCATAATTAATTAATTTTCAGCTTTTGATATTTCAAGTAGTAATCATCACATTTCAATGACACTTGGTACATAGTTACTTAAGGACTGTGCAGACCCCTGATTAGTTTTCAGGTAAATATTTGTGCATATTAATTACCTTATTAGCATAATTAGTTAATTTTCAGCTTTTTGCCTAATATCTCAAGTACCAATCATCATATTTCAAGGAGACTTGCTACATAGATCTTCTAGGACTATGCAGAGACCTGATTAGTTTTAATTGGATATTAACTATCTAATTTGCATAATGTTCCCCTGATATATAAAAAAACACAAATTGGATTTTAATGAAACTTTTGAAGAGAACTATTAGTTTTTGGTAAATATTTATGCTTATTAATCACCTAATTAACATACTTAATTAACACTGATATCTCAATTACTGATCATCACATTTGAATAAAATTTGGTACATAAATGCTCTAGGACAATAGACAGGCCTGATTAATTTTGGGTTAAAATTTGTTCATATTAATTCTCTAATTAGCATAATAATTCGTAATTTTTTTGTTCTCTTCTGTTTTGTTCATATTAATTACCTGATTTACATAATTAGTTTTCAGCTTTTCCATCAGAATCTCATGTACAAGTAATTTTTAATCAATTTTTAATGTGTCTTCAATACTCTCTGCACACAGGAGTTCTTTCTAAGCTTTCTTTGATCCCCCTAAATCCGCGCGTGGCTATCACCACAAGTATTTGATGGTACATCATGTAGACTGCTATTTATATCATATCATGGTATATAGGATTTATTGCATATCATGGTATATAGGATTTATTGCATATCATGGTATATAGGATTTATTGCATATCATGTATATAGGACTTATTGCATATCATGGTATATAGGATTTATTGCATATCATGGTATATAGGATTTATAGCATATCATGGTATATAGGATTTATTGCATATCATGGTATATAGGATTTATTGCATATCATGTATATAGGATTTATTGCATATCATGTATATAGGATTTATTGCATATCATGGTATATAGGATTTATTGCATATCATGTATATAGGATTTATTGCATATCATGTATATAGGATTTATTGCATATCATGTATATAGGATTTATAGCATATCATGGTATATAGAATTTATATCATATTATGGTATATAGGATTTATATCATATCATGTATATAGGATTTATAGCATATCATGGTATATAGAATTTATATCATACTATGGTATATAGAATTTATATCATATCATGGTATATAGGATTTATTGCATATCATGGTATATAGGATTTATTGCATATCATGGTATATAGGATTTATTGCATATCATGGTATATAGGATTTATTGCATATCATGTATATAGGATTTATTGCATATCATGTATATAGGATTTATAGCATATCATGGTATATAGAATTTATATCATATTATGGTATATAGGATTTATAGTATATCATGGTATATAGAATTTATATCATATTATGGTATATACGATATATATCATATCATGTATATAGGATTTATAGCATATCATGGTATATAGGATTTATAGAATCACCTAGAACATCATTTGTGTATTCAGCCTGTAGGATGTGATGGTAAACTTTATTCTACGTTGACGCTAGATAAATGTGGTATTTGTGGTGGCAATGGTAATCAGTGCAGAACAGTTTCGCGTGATTACAGGGAAAGCAATGCAACTATAGGTAAACCTGTCTATATATTCAAACAGTATGCGGTCCCATCGATCTCTACTGTTCGTTGGTTAATACTCTTGCTGTACTGTCTTTGTGCATACTTTTCAGTATCCTCGTATTAACCTCATATTATTTCCAAAGCTATTTTAAGCAGTTGTAATCATGTTGCTTTGTAAAACCTTAAATTTCTGAAATTGTAAAAAATCTAAAAACACTTTGAATAATACTGGTGCGTCTGTGTACTTTTACTGCAGGCTATACAGAAATAGTGGTAATACCAAAGGGTGCGGTACACATCAGTGTAGTGGAAAAAGTAAGGAATCCTGACTCCTACCTTGGTGAGTCTTCTGAATGGAATTTAATACAAGGAAGCTCTTGTAAAAGACTTCTAATTAAATTATTTATTATAATTTGTATAACTTGTGCAGAAAAACAAATGTGAAAGTTGCAAGCTATTCTGATGATCTGATGAAAGTCTGACATACTTGTATTTTGTGTTTATTAGCTAGGTTATTGTTGTCTTTGTTACAAAAAAATCATCATTTTTTTTGGTCCACCAAGAGTCTTGTGTAAATTGCCAATCAATCACAGTGGAAATGCTTTTCACATTTAATATTGATTTTGTGATTTCGTCAAATTCATTTTGTCATCAGAAAAGCCTTTATGTTTCTTAGTTCCTGTTCAGACAAAGTCCAAAACAGGGACTTATAATTTAGTCTCTGTGTGTGCGTACTTGTGTCCAGAGTTGTATCTCTGAAACACTTGGACCAATTCTCTTCTATCTTCACACATAGGAAATACCTTATCTGATACATATACACATACACATTTAATGGTTTTGTGATTGGTTTACCATACCATACCAGCACAGTCAGCTGGTGCACACGTGATAATAAATAAATACGATATTTACTCTATGGGTTCACCATCTTGAATGCAGCGTTAAACTAAATAAGAGACAAGTTGTGAAACATGTTTTTCAGATTCCTATAAATCTGAACAAAAATACTAATCTTTTACAAAAATACTATCGGTTGGGGTTATATTAGACCAACCGATAACAAAAAACGGTCAAATTCGGTGTTTTTGTGTGGAAAAATTCCTTGCATACGAACACCTAATTACGCGAAGAACCTAGAACACTTTCCTGGGGTATTTGAAACCGAAATTGTCATCTGACTGTAAGGCCGTCGCTGATTGGCTGCTGAGCTGGAATGACAATTTTTGGTTTCAAATACCCCAGTGTTCTATGTTCTTCGTGTAATTAGGTGTTCGTACCACTTTGATTTGAAAATGCTTTGAGCAATTCAAACTTTATAAATAGACAGTACATCATGGTTAATTCAATTAAACTCACTTAAAACACAACCGTATATAGTGTTGAATTAAATTTAATAATTATTATATTGTATTCATATATAGGATTGCAATTTAAAATCTAAAACTTGCAAATAATTCATTGTAAAATGTAAATCACAAATTGTGGTTTTTTGGTGGCCTCTGTCAATTACTAAATATTTTTTGACATTTACCCTGTTCAGCTATGCGAGTGTCAAGCGGTGAGTTTTTTTTAAATGGATATTGGATTATTAATAATCCTGGTGTCTATGAAATAGTAGGAACTGTCTTTAACTATACAAGGTCATCATTAAGCCAATCAGGAAATGAAGAAAGTATCACATCAGCTGGACCAATTGATGAGTCAGTAAGTGTCATGGTAAGTTTCAGATCAACTTTTTGGAGTTGAACTAACCCTTTGACTGGCAGATATGTTTCATTTTTGCCCAATAAGTTCGTAAATTTTTATCAACTTTTCATATGGGAAAGAGCAGACTGTAAACAAAGTTGCTAAACTACAAATTAGTGAATAAAAAGGTTTCCCTCATTTATAATGACAAAGAGCAAATCAAAGGTGAGAATATCTGAACATGTTTCCATGAAAACAATGACTTGTTGATTTTTCATGTAAGTGTCATTGGGTCATGTTGTTGTTTACAAGTTCAATTTTACACGCATTGTTTTCATCACCTAGAACTGTGCTTTATTCTCGGGCAGCTGTAAACAATTGAATTTAATACCCCAAGTTTGTTCTTAATAATTTTAAATGAACACAATGCCTACTCAAGCTTACACATTTGGTGGCCAAGTTTTAAATTGAATTCTTGTTTTCTTCAGCTGCTATCGGAGGTATCTGATGCAGTTCATATTAACTATAAGTATACAGTTCCGTTATCACATCTGCCAGCTGAAGAACAATCTCCATATTTGGATCTGAGCTATGCTGCACTTGAACAAGGTGGTATGTCATGGTTTTCATTTGGAACTGTGATTTCATTTATACACCAGCCTGAGGATTTAACAATTATATTTTTCAAACAATAATTTTTCTTATATATAGTATAGTATTCTTATATATAGTATAGTATAGTATAGTATAGTATAGTATAGTATAGTATAGTATAGTATAGTATAGTATAGTATAGTATAGTATAGTATAGTATATTTGACACAAAATAATGCATGGAAAATACATCATCTTTGGCCAATATACATTACTTTATAAACAAACAAACAAATAAATAAACAAACACTGTAAAAATAAAATAAATGTTAGAAAAAATGTTAAATATTAAAAGTTTCATTTTTGTTTTCTGTTAAAATATCATTGATGAATTTTCCCAGGCTGTTGGTAATGAAACCATCATTTGAACTTAAAATTTGTTTGAACATGTTTTTTTCTGATAATGTTAGTGGACTATCATTATACAATGACAAAGTATTAATAAATTGTGTACGACTAGTTATTAACCTTTGGTTCTTACAAACCAATAATGCATGTATTTCATCACCAATAGCCTTGTCTTCACACAAATTACAAATTATTTCCTCTGAAGGCATGCCTTTGTATCTTAACCTTTCAATTGACAGTGTATGAGCAGAGATTCTAAATTTGGTTATACTTGTTCTATGACTAATATTTTTTACAAGTTCTAGATATGGCTCAAATTCATATTTTGATATAAATATTTTGTAAATGTGTAATTTATTACTATTTTTTGGAGGGCTGGCAACCACTGATATATGATCATAATAAAATAGGTCCCAGCAAAAAAGAGATAAAATAAATGTTTCTTTCCTTTTTTTTGCAAAAAAAAAAAAAGTTTTGATGATGACCAGAAATATGAATATTTTTTTTTTGGCTTTTTATGAACATTGTAGTAAATGATATTTAATGGAAATTTGTGATGATTTAAAATTGTAATTCAATGCTTCCAACTTTTATAGTGGTTGGAAGTTACAGTTACAGAGACCAAGAGAAAAGTACTATACATAAGGAGCCACTTTCTGAGGCTGAGCTGCCATCTACCTTAATACCACTGGCAGTAATCGAAGGTTTGAGTTCTACTAAACTTCCCGCAAATACGAGTAAATTCTATGAAGCCTCTGAAGAACCAATGATGAACGGAACAGTGCTCGATAGACAGTACCTTCCTGCTGTTACTTATTACTGGGTAGCTACCTATGCACAGTGCAGTGCTACATGCTCTCCAGGTAAATACAGTACAACTGGAAAAAATGTGGGTACACAAACTATGAACCTTAATTGTAATATATTTTGACCAATTTAGCCTCTACACCACCAGACATTCATTTGTCTGTATTTTTTCTTATATTCTTCACTATTTCTGGAAATGAACCCTAATTTTGGAACCAACAGACAAAATTTGAGTTAATTTTCAGTTTTTACTCAAAAAATGTGACTATTTTTGTCCCAATCTTCTGAAGAAAAATGCAGACTATAAACAGGACTATTTCTGAAATCGTGATGAAAAGAGGGAACTGGTGGCGAAAAGATTAAATTCAACATGGCAACCACAGCATGGCGTAATGGTATTGGGAAAGCCATTAAGTCAATGTTTTTGTGAAAACAAGTTTGTGTACCTCAATATTTACATGCTCTTTGTCATTTATTTGATGAAACCTTTCGCTCAATAAAATATTAAGTATTTAATTGCCATGCGTTTTTAAATTTGTTGTCTCATTACTAGTAATCTATGCTTATCATTTAAAGATAATGATTCACATTGATTTTCATTTGTTTTCTTTTAATGATTAGGAGTATCTGAGTCATATGTTAAGTGTTATAATAATGATGACATTGAGGTAGACGAGTCACAGTGTGACCCATCTCTCAGACCTGAACCTCATTTCAGAAAAAAGTGTGCAGGACAATTATGTGATGCAAGGTAAGAAGTTTTTTCCATGTGTTTTTGCATACAGTTGAAATCTTTGAGTTTAGCTTCTGTCTGTTGAATATGGCTGTCATAGACAAACATGGACTATAATGACACCAGTCATATATGGACTAATGACACCAGTCAGATATGAACTAATGAACCAAACAGATATGGACTAATGGCACTAGTCAGATATGAACTGACACCAGTTAAATATGGACTAATGACACCAGACAGATATGGACCAATGAGCCAGTCAAATACTGTCTAAGGACACCAGTTAAATATGGACTAATGACACCAGACAGATATGGACTACTGACACCAGTCAGATATGAACTAATGACACCAGCCAAATATTGTCTAATAATGCCAGTTAAATGTGAACTAATGACACCAGCCAGATATGAACTAATGACACCAGCCAAATATTGTCTAATGACACCAGTTAATTGTGAAATAATAACACCAGTCAGATATGGACTAATGAACCAATCAAATATGGACTAATAACACCAGTCAGATATAAACTAATGACACCAGCTAAATATAGCCTAATGGCACCAGTCAGATTTGGACTAATGAACCGGTCAAATGTGGACTAATGACACCAGTCAAATACTGTCTAAGGATGCCAGTTAAATATGGACTAATGACACCAGACAGATATGGACCAATGAGCCAGTCAAATACTGTCTAAGGATACCAGTTAAATATGGACTAATGACATCAGACAGATATGGACTAATGAACCAGTCGAATATTGTCTAAGGACACCAGTTAATTATGGACTAATGACACCAGACAGATATGGACTAATGAACCAGTCAAATATTGTCTAAGGACACCAGTTAAATATGGACTAATGACACAAGTCAGATATAGACTAATGAACCAGTCAAATATTGTCTAAGAGTGCCAGTTAAATATGGATTAATGACACCAGTCAGCTATGAACTAATGACACCAGTTAAATATGGACTAATGAACCAGTCAAATATTGTCTAAGGACGCCAGTTAAATATGGACTAATGACACCAGACAGATATGGACTAATGAACCAGTCAAATATTGTCTAAGGACACCAGTTAAATGTGGACTAATGATACCAGCCATACATGGACTACTGACACCAGTCAGATATGAACTAATGACACCAGCCAAATATTGTCTAATAATGCCAGTTAAATGTGAACTAATGACACCAGCCAGATATGAACTAATGACACCAGCCAAATATTATCTAATGACACCAGTTAATTGTGAAATAATAACACCAGTCAGATATGGACTAATGAACCAATCAAATATGGACTAATAACACCAGTCAGATATAAACTAATGACACCAGCTAAATATTGTCTGACACCAGCTAAATATAAACTAATGGCACCAGTCAGATTTGGACTAATGAACCGGTCAAATGTGGACTAATGACACCAGTCAGCTATGAACTAATGACATAATATTGCCTAAGGTCGCCAGTTAAATATGAACTAATGACATCAGCCACAATGTGGAGTGGTGACACCAGTCAGATACGGATTAGCGACACAAGCTATACATGGTCTAATGGCACCAGTAAAATATGGATTAATGACACCAGTCAGACACAGACTAATGACACCAGTCAAATATGGATTAATGACACCAGTCACATATGGATTAATGACACCAGTCAGATACAGACTAATGACACCAGTCAAATATGGATTAATGACACCAGTCAGATACAGACTAATGACATCAGTCAAATATGGACTAATGACACCAGTCAAATATGGATTAATGACACCAGTCAGATACAGACTAATGACACCAGTCAAATATGGATTAATGACACCAGTCAGATACAGACTAATGACATCAGTCAAATATGGACTAATGACACCAGTCAGATATGAACTAATGAACCAAACAGATATGGACTAATGGCACTAGTCAGATATGAACTGACACCAGTTAAATATGGACTAATGACACCAGACAGATATGGACCAATGAGCCAGTCAAATACTGTCTAAGGACACCAGTTAAATATGGACTAATGACACCAGACAGATATGGACCAATGAGCCAGTCAAATACTGTCTAAGGATGCCAGTTAAATATGGACTAATGACACCAGACAGATATGGACCAATGAGCCAGTCAAATACTGTCTAAGGATACCAGTTAAATATGGACTAATGACATCAGACAGATATGGACTAATGAACCAGTCGAATATTGTCTAAGCACACCAGTTAATTATGGACTAATGACACCAGACAGATATGGACTAATGAACCAGTCAAATATTGTCTAAGGACACCAGTTAAATATGGACTAATGATACCAGCCATACATGGACTACTGACACCAGTCAGATATGAACTAATGACACCAGCCAAATATTGTCTAATAATGCCAGTTAAATGTGAACTAATGACACCAGCCAGATATGAACTAATGACACCAGCCAAATATTGTCTAATGACACCAGTTAATTGTGAAATAATAACACCAGTCAGATATGGACTAATGAACCAATCAAATATGGACTAATAACACCAGTCAGATATAAACTAATGACACCAGCTAAATATAGCCTAATGGCACCAGTCAGATTTGGACTAATGAACCGGTCAAATGTGGACTAATGACACCAGTCAGCTGTGAACTAATGACATCAGTCAAATATTGTCTAAGGTCGCCAGTTAAATATGAACTAATGACATCAGCCACAATGTGGAGTGGTGACACTAGTCAGATATGGATTAGTGACACAAGCTATACATGGTCTAATGGCACCAGTAAAATATGGATTAATGACACCAGTCAGATACAGACTAATGACACCAGTCAAATATGGATTAATGACACCAGTCAGATACAGACTAATGACACCAGTCAAATATGGATTTATGACACCAGTCAGATACAGACTAATGACATCAGTAAAATATGGACTAATGACACCAGTCAAATATGGATTAATGACACCAGTCAGATACAGACTAATGACACCAGTCAAATATGGATTAATGACACCAGTCAGATACAGACTAATGACATCAGTCAAATATGGATTAATGACACCAGTCAAATATGGATTAATGACACTAGTCAGATACAGACTAATGACATCAGTCAAATATGGACTAATGACACTAGTCAAATATGGATTAATGACACCAGTCAGATACAGACAAATGACATCAGTCAAATATGGACTAATGACACTAGTCAAATATGGACTAATGACACTAGTCAAATATGGGCTAGTGACACTAGTAAAATATGGACTGATGACACCAGTCAAATATGGATTAATGACACCAGTCAGATACAGACTAATGACATCAGTCAAATATGGACTAATGACACTAGTCAAATATGGACTAATGACACTAGTCAAATATGGGCTAGTGACACTAGTAAAATGTGGACTAATGACACTAGTCAAATGTGGACTAGTGACACTAGTCAAATATGGGCTAATGACACTAGTAAAATGTGGACTAATGACACAAGTCAAATATTAATTAATGACACATGATGAGTATCAATTGAGAACACTTGAATATTCATTAATGCCAGGTGTTGAATATGGAGTAGTGATAGCTGTCAAATTAATTAAATAGATTGAATGAAAGGAAAGAATTAATTTAAAAATTGACTATAATTGAGCTATGCATATTCACAACAGTAATCTGATTGACTGAAATTCCCTAACTTGCTACGTTAGCTGTAGTACAACTCACTGTCACTTACTTGAAGGTTTCAGCACATCAATCACTTGCATTGGTAATTCATATACCATAACGGTTGCCTGACCAAGTACAAATCTTATGGTTGGTTGTTAAATACTGCCAAACTTTTTTTCCCATTGTATTTCTGTTAGCGACATCGAAAGCCAACCGTTTAGTCAAAACCCAAGCAGTTAGCCAATTCGCTAGCGAGTTTGCAAATTGGCTGCCCCAATACTTCTGAGTCTTGCTGTAATGTAAAATAATGACATCCATTGAATATGATAAAATGAAACCTCTGAGATTTGAACTAGTGTCACCCATTTAATATGAGTGAGTTGACATCAGTTGAATATGATTGAATGACACCTAATATGAACTAGTGACACCTGTTGAATATGAACTAGTGACATTTCTGGAATATAAACTAGTGACATCTCTAGAATATGAACTAGTGACACCTGTTGAACATGAACTAGTGACATCTCTAGAATATGAACTAGTGACGGATGTTGAATATGAATCAGTGACACCTGCTAAATATAAATGAGTGACACCTAATTTGAACTAGTGACACCTGTTATATAAAAACTAGTGACTGCTCTGGAATAAGAACTAGTGAACCTAATGTGAACTAGTAACACCTGTTGAACATGAACTAGTGATACCTCTGGAATATGAACTAGTGACACCTCTGGAATATAAACTAGTGACACCTCTGGAATGTGAATGAGTGACACCTCTGGAATATGAAATAGTGACGCCTATAGAATATGAATGAGTGACACCTCTGGAATGTGAACGAGCGACACCTCAGGAATATGAACTAGTGACACCTCTGGAATATGAACGAGTGACACCTCTGGAATATGCACTAGTGATACCTGTAGAATATGAATGAGTGACACCTTTGGAATATGAACTAGTGACACTTCTGGAATGTGAACTAGTGATCCCTCTGGAATATGAACTAGTGACACTTCTGGAATATGAACTAGTGTCACCTCTGGAATATGAACTAGTGACACTTCTGAGATATGAACTAGTGACACCTCTGAAATATGAACTAGTGACACTTCTGGGATATGAACTAGTGACATATGTTGAATATGAATGAGTGGCACTTCTGGAATGTGAACCAGTGACACCCATGGAATATTAACTAGTGACATGTGTTGTATATGAACTAGTGATACCTGTTGAATATGAACTAGTGACAACTATTGATATGAACAAGTGACATCTCTGGAATATTAACTAGTGACATGTGTTGCATATGAACTAGTGATACCTGTTGAATATGAACTAGTGATACCTGTTGAATATGAACTAGTGACTCCTGTTGAATATGAACTAGTGACACCTGTTGAATATGAATTAGTGACACTTCTGGAATATAAACTAGTGACACCTGTTGAATATGAACTAGTAACACCTGTTGAATATGAACTAGTGACACCTGTCGAATATGAACTAGTGACACTTCTGGAATATGAACTAGTGTTACAGTGATACCTGTTGAATATGAACTTGTGACACCTGTTGAATATGAACTATTCACACCTGTTGAATATGAACTATTGACACTTCTGAGATATGAACTAGTGACACCTCTGGAGTACGAACTAGTGACACTTCTGGGATATGAACTAGTGACATATGTTGAATATGAATGAGTGGCACTTCTGAAATGTGAACCAGTGACACTTATGGAATATGAACTAGTGACATCTGTTGTATATGAACTAGTGACACCTGTTGAATATGGATTAGTGACACTTCTGGAATATAAACCAGTGACACCTCTGGAATATGAACTAGTGATGCCTCTGGTATATGAACTGGTGATACCTGTTGAATATGAACTAGTAACACCTGTTGAATATGAACTAGTGATACCTGTTGAATATGAACTTGTGACACCTGTTGAATATGAACTAGTGACACCTGTTGAATATGAACTAGTGACACTTCTGGAATGTGAACTAGTGACACCTGTTGAATATGAACTAGTGACACTTCTGGAATGTGAACTAGTGACACCTGTTGAATATGAACTAGTGACACTTCTGGATTATGAACTAGTGACACTTCTGGATTATAAACTAGTGGCATATGTTGAATATGAACTAGTGACACCTGTTGATATTAACTAGTGACAGCTCTGGAATATGAACTAGCGACACCTGTTTTATATAAACTAGTGACACCTGTTGAATATGAATGAGTGACATCTCTGGAATGTGAACTAGTAACACCTGTTGAATATGAACTCGTGACACCTGTTGATATGAACTAGCGACACCTCTGGAATGTGAACTAGTGATACCCCTGGAATATGAACTAGTGATACCTCTGGAATATGAACTAGTAACACCTGTTGAATATGAACTAGTGACACCTATTGATATGAACTAGTGACATCTGTTGTATATTAACTAGTGACACCCATTGATATGAACTAGTGACATCTGTTGTATATGAACTAGCGACACCTGTTGTATATGAACTAGTGACACCTGTTGAATATGGATTAGTGACACTTCTGGAATATAAACCAGTGACACCTCTGGAATATGAACTAGTGATGCCTCTGGTATATGAACTAGTGATACCTGTTGAATATGAACTAGTAACACCTGTTGAATATGAACTAGTGACACCTGTTGAATATGAACTAGTGACACCTCTGGATTATGAACTAGTGACACCTGTTGTATATGAACTAGTGACACCTGTTGAATATGGATTAGTGACACTTCTGGAATATAAACCAGTGACACCTGGAATATGAACTAGTGATGCCTCTGGTATATGAACTAGTGATACCTGTTGAATATGAACTAGTAACACCTGCTGAATATGAACTAGTGATCCCTGTTGAATATGAACTTGTGACACCTGTTGAATATGAACTAGTGACACCTGTTGAATACAAACTAGTGACACTTCTGGAATGTGAACTAGTGACACCTGTTGAATATGAACTAGTGACACTTCTGGATTATGAACTAGTGACACTTCTGGATTATAAACTAGTGGCATATGTTGAATATGAACTAGTGACACCTGTTGATATTAACTAGTGACACCTCTGGAATATGAACTAGCGACACCTGTTTTATATAAACTAGTGACATCTCTGGAATATGAACTAGCGACACCTGTTTTATATAAACTAGTGACACCTGTTGAATATGAATGAGTGACATCTCTGGAATGTGAACTAGTAACACCTGTTGAATATGAACTAGTGACACCTGTTGATATGAACTAGTGACACCTCTGGAATGTGAACTAGTGATACCCCTGGAATATGAACTAGTGATACCTCTGGAATATGAACTAGTAACACCAGTTGAATATGAACTAGTGACACCTATTGATATGAACTAGTGACATCTGTTGTATATTAACTAGTGACACCCAATGATATGAACTAGTGACATCTGTTGTATATGAACTAGCGACACATGTTGTATATGAACTAGTGACACATGTTGAATATGAATGAGTGACACCTCTGGAATGCGAACTAGTGATACTTCTGGAATGTGAACTAGTGACACCTATTGATATGAACTAGGGACATCTGTTGTATATGAACTAGTGACAACTATTGATATGAACAAGTGACATCTCTGGAATATGAACTAGTGACACCTATTGACATGAACAAGTGATATCTCTGGAATATAAACTAGCGGCACCTATTGTATATGAATTAGTGACACCTCTGGAATGTGAACTAGTGATACCTCTGGAATGTGAACTAGTGACACCTCTGGAATGTGAACTAGTGACACCTATTGATATGAACTAGTGACATCTCTGGAATATTAACTAGTGACATGTGTTGCATATGAACTTGTGATACCTGTTGAATATGAACTAGTAACACCTGTTGAATATGAACTAGTGACTCCTGTTGAATATGAACTAGTGACACCAGTTGAATATGAATTAGTGACACTTCTGGAATAGGAACTAGTGATGCCTCTGGTATATGAACTAGTGATACCTGTTGAATATGAACTAGTAACACCTGTTGAATATGAACTAGTGACACCTGTCGAATATGAACTAGTGACACTTCTGGAATATGAACTAGTGTTACAGTGATACCTGTTGAATATGAACTTGTGACACCTGTTGAATATGAACTATTGACACTTCTGAGATATGAACTAGTGACACCTCTGGAGTACGAACTAGTGACACTTCTGGGATATGAACTAGTGACATGTTGAATATGAATGAGTGGCACTTCTGGAATGTGAACAGTGACACTTATGGAATATGAACTAGTGACACTTCTGAGATATGAACTAGTCTCACCTCTGGAGTATGAACTAGTGACACCTCTGGAGTATGAACTAGTGATACCTGTTGAATATGAACTAGTAACACCTGTTGAATATGAACTAGTGATATCTGTTGAATATGAATTAGTGACACTTTTGGAATATAAACCAGTGACATCTCTGGAATATGAACTAGTGATACCTCTGGTATATGAACTAGTGATACCTGTTGAATATGAACTGGTGACACTTCTGGAATATAAACTAGTGGCAGCTGTTGAATGTGAATGAGTGACACCTCTGGAATATGAACTAGTGACACCTAGAGTATGAACTAATGTTGTCTCTGGAATATGAACAAGTGACACCTCTGGGGATATGAACTAGTGACACCTCTGGAATATGAACTAGTGACACCTGGAATATGAACTAGTGTTGCCTCTGAAATATGAACTAGTGACACCTCTGGAATATGAACTAGTGGCACTTCTAGAATATAAACTAGTGAAGCATCTGGAATATGAACCAGTGACACTTCTGGAATATGAACTAGTAACATATCTGAGATATGAACTAGTGACACCTCTGGAGTATGAACTAGTGACACCTCTGGAGTATGAACTAGTGACACTTCTGAGATATGAACTATTGACACCTCTGGAATATGAACTAGTGATACTTCTGTGATATGAACTAGTGACATATGTTGAATATGAATGAGTGGCACTTCTGAAATGTGAACCAGTGACACTTATGGAATATGAACTAGTGACATCTGTTGTATATGAACTAGTGACACCTGTTGAATATGGATTAGTGACACTTCTGGAATATAAAGCAGTGACACCTCTGGAATATGAACTAGTGATGCCTCTGGTATATGAACTAGTGATACCTGTTGAATATGAACTAGTAACACCTGCTGAATATGAACTAGTGATACCTGTTGAATATGAACTTGTGACACCTGTTGAATATGAACTAGTGACACCTGTTGAATATGAACTAGTGACACTTCTGGAATGTGAACTAGTGACACCTGTTGAATATGAACTAGTGACACTTCTGCATTATGAACTAGTGACACTTCTGGATTATAAACTAGTGGCATATGTTGAATATGAACTAGTGACACCTGTTGAATATGAACTAGTGACACCTGTTGATATGAACTAGTGACACCTTTTAAGTATGAACTAGTGACACCTGTTGAATATGGACTAGTGACACCTGTTGAATATGAACTAGTGACACCTGTTGAATATGAACTAGTGACACCTGTTGAATATGAACTAGTGACACCTTTTGAGTAGTTGAGTATGAAGAAGTGAACCCTGCATAAGAACAAGGGATACCTGTTGAATGTGATATGGGCATATGCTACATTTGTTTTATCCATGTCACCTACATATCGTTTTGTTAAATGCAACCCACCAATATAAATTGTTATTTATAATAATCCTGTTGTATTTTAGGTGGGTTGAAAGTTCATGGAGTCGTTGTTCTGTGACTTGTGGTGCTGGCGTCAAGTACAGATCTGTTCATTGTTGGCAGATAATGTCAGAAGGCTTGGATAGCTCAGTATCCCATTCCCAGTGTAATCCCAACACCAAACCAGCAACTATTCAGGCATGTGAAAAACAACCGTGCGGTCCATTATGGGAAACATCGGAATGGGGTGAGGTATGAGATTTCAAATCTAAATCAAATTTAAATCAAATCCAAAAATCTGTGTTTGTAGTACAGTGGCCCATATGTACAATTGGTCCGCTACTTGAAAATTCGTCCGAACAAAATCAGTAGGCTACTTGAACATTAAATCATTACTTGAAAAAAATCAGTTGGCAAGTTGAAAATCGCTCCGTTACTTTTAAAAAAATGGTTGGCTACTTGAAAATCAGTCAGCTACTTAAAAACAAGATGGATTTTGTTAGTAATCCAGAGTCAAAATAGAATCTTCGAAAATCAACTTGAGTCAGCTTTTTGATTGCTGGGGAGGTCGGTTTTCAAATAAATAAAAAATAAATAAATGTATGTGACTGTTTAGGAGACAAACGCAAACAAAAATATTGCGGTCCCTGATCGTATTTACACTTATTTTATTTATAAAATGTGGATTTCATTTCACCAAATTACAAATTCAAACTATAGTAAGATGGGTTTCAAGATCACTATACTAAGGTATGATTTTCTGTTGTACCAATGACTTGCCAGTGAATAAGCTCAACTAGTTGCGTAATATGGGACCCATGGATGTGGTTTATTGTTAATTTTTGATAAAAATCAAAATGGAAACTAGCTAACGTCACTTAGTGTGACGGAATATAATTCCATGATGACCTAAGCATTATCAAATCAAAAATCAGCTTGCTTTATGCTTTGAAGACAAAATAGCAAATCACAACCTTTCATCTGAATTTCAATCTGAATTCATAAATATTTGTGATAATTTACCATTAATTGCATCCTAGGTCATCCTGAAACCCTTGTACTTATTAATAAAACTGAATCTTGGGCCATGGATGTTTAAGAACTAATCGTGAACTTGAAATACTGCAAAATTTTAGATTATTTAAAGATTTACAATGATTGGAAGAAAAATATAGTCCAAACTCAAATCCAAACAACTTTAGAAGAATTAATGACCTGTTTTAAAAACTTTAAATATGAGTTGTTGTGAATGTAGACATTTGTGAACGTTTAATATTTATTTATATATATATTTGTTTATGTATTTTTTTTCTTCTCTGTGTGACCATCAGTATCATTTGTATCTATTGAGTAGTATCTGAACTTGTTTTCACCATTCAACTAGTTGTTTGTTTGTTTGTTTGTTTGTTTGTTTGTTTGTTTACCTACAAATAAATAATTTGAGAAGAACTTATAACTTGATTACAATGCAACTCTTAAACATAAATATATTAAAGTATTACTTATTATAATTCTGAGTCTGCAATTTATTCTTAAATCTCTAGTTTAAAGTGGGAGGGTCGACACCTGGCAAAGGCTCATGGGTAGACGCTTGTTTGTAAACAATGACACGCTATGGCCATCTGAAGCAATGCGCCGGTGACGACTCCCTCGCTTTAATTATAAATGATCCTCTGCTTCCTATTTTTGAATTTTATGCAAATTACAACGTTTGCTCTTTTTTTCGCAGTGTTCTAAGAAATGTGGAAGTGGTGTGCAAAGGCGTAGAGTCAGATGCAAACTTTCTGATGATTCATGTGATATAAGACTGAAACCAATAAGTGAAAAAACATGTATTATAGGAACATGTAAGGGTCAATGGGCAGGGACTCCATGGAGTGAGGTAAGTTTGTTGTAAGCATACTATTCATTTGTGACAAAGCCATTTTCAAATTGGTGCTTTCTAGGCTTTCTACTTGCTGTTAAGGTTCAACAATACAGTTTCATAAAAGTTTTTAGAATTTCTTTATATTTTGCATGGGTGAAAAAAAAATATGGGGTTCACGGACCAAATTTTGTTAAACGTGAAGTTATTTTTATGTACTAAGATTACAGAGTTACATGAGACTGTATAGGGGGAAAAAGTAAAACATAACTGGTGTTCAATTGGAAAATTTATTCGTGATTACTTGAAACTCAATATAATGGAACAATATCATGTGCTGGGAATTAGATGTTTCAAAACTTAAAAAAAGGGAGAAACCTGTTTGTAAAGACAGTAGTTTTAGTTTGCGCTATTCTACAAGGGCAATGGATAGAATGTGTTCTCACATAAAAACTCCTGCATACTGTGGAATACTTTATTTTCGCTGGATTTAATTTTCGCTGAAAAGGCTTTTTAGGCGTTTTGCTTGGAATTTATTTTCACTGATTTTTGATGAGTTTAATGTGAAATATAGGAAAAAAAGTATATTCGCTGGATTTTATTTTCACGGAATCATCCCTTCAGCGAAAATAGCGAAAATTAATTCCAAGCGAAAATAAAGTATTCTACAGTATTCACGCCAACCCAACTGTATTGGGCAACCTTACTACAAAAGCTAGTATGTCAAACCCCAACTGGTCTTGTTACCACATTGTTCAATTTAAGGTTGTGTGTAATGTTTCTAATCTCTGATTAAATGGTATCCATTCTCTTGATTATAGTGTTCTGGAAACTGTGGAACAAAGAGTCGCAACCTCTTGTGTCTTGATAGGGAAACTGGTAAAGATGGTATTTGTAGCATGGAATCCAAGCCAAAAAAAACAGTAGAAGCCTGTGGACAAAATTGTAATGCATACTGGGTACCGCAAGTATGGGAACCTGTAAGTATGCTGTATTTCGCCTTGTTGCGTCTAAAGTTGAATTGCAATTACTGAGCATATTTATTTTGAGTCAAACCCTGAGCATGCTTGGTCACATCATATCTAACCAGGTGCAAAACAAGTTGCATGTGCAAATAGTCAGGATGACCAGAATGGCCTCAGCAGCTGAGAAGAGCATAGTCGTAATTTTTAAAGTTCGAATGGGTCAATATGTTATGCAAATATTTATGCAAATTTTAAGTTATTCACTCAATTTCTTGATATTTTTCAAAACTACAGGAGACTTGCAGGAGATTATTTTTTTGAATCATATTTGTTTTATTCTTATGCGAGTATGTTGATCTGCCAACAATCATAATACTAGCAGCAACACACATATCATGTCTAGGACAAATTGATGTTCAAGCCCCTCAATATACATCGAGTTGGGTTGTAAACATTGAAGTTTTTAGTTCAGTGGGACCTCTATGTATATATATTCATTAGATTCTTAATGTCCTATCCAATTGTTATAATGCAAGCAGTACCACGTGGGGCACTGTTCAAGGGATGATTAATTTCATCATGTGATTTGAGAAAGAATGTATCCTAGTTCAGCAATCTGGCACATAGTGAACTAAAATTGTCATTTGCACACTTTTCTCAAAGGGGCCGGGGTGTTCGGCTAACCATCCCACCCCCTGAATCACATGGAGATGAGTACCCTGGGCGCTAGGTTGGACAAGTATGGTAACCATTATAGTAGTAGAGGTTTACCATTAGAAATTGTTTGTGGAGGGAGGGGGGGGGGGTGGGTGATCAACATTGTCTCTTTGCCAATAGGCATTTACATTGATAGAGATCAATCATAAATCTATGGTATGTTCAATGTTAACCAAGCCACTTAACAACATTTAACCATTAATCTGTTCACCACCATACCTGCCCAAATGTTTCTGCACTTTTTTCTTATATTCCTCAATAGTTCTGGAAATAAATCCTAATTTTGTAGCCAACAGACAAAATTTGAGTCAATTTTTGGTTATTTTTGTCCCAATCTTCTGAAGGAAAGTGAAGACTATTAACAATACTATTTTGGATCAAAATCTCATGATGATGTGGGTTAATGTAGTCTCAACTACAACACCTCACACTGGCAGGACTTGTTAGCATTAGTCAAAAGCACAGACTACCAATTTTTTTGCCAGGGCTACTATTTTTGTCTCATATGTGCGAAGCACCTAATGAGAGTCACTGCAGTGTGTCAGTGAATCAGATTTCAATGAAACTTAATACATAGATGCTCTGGATTAATGCACAGACCTGTTTAGTTATTGGTTGAAATCTGTGCATATTAATGACAATTTTTGCTTTATGTGTATTGAAGATGTGCATCTAATATAGTAAATACATATTCCTTATTTATACTTCATGTCTCCAATGACCTCAGGACACAAGAGTTAAGCTATCTTTGATTCAAAATTATAGTAACCCAACAGGACTGAATAATAAAAACTATTTCTACACTGATATACTAAAATAACTAAGTATGTCTTAAACAGAGTGAGTTGGTTATTTCCATGTCTTCACAATTGTGTGCATGTCTTCAAGTATCAAACCACTGATACTGATGGTCAATCCAGCATGTTGTCCAGCTGTCAGCTTTTGTAATTAGTAGCCCACTCAGGCTTCCAAGAAAAAGATGTTTATTTTGAAGCCCTGATTAAGATATTGTTTTCCAGTGTTCATCTAGTTGTGGTCATGGTACCCGCACACGGTTACTGATATGTGCAGCAGTAGAAAACAGTAGAGCAGTGACATTACAGGAGAGTGACTGTGATCCATCAACCAAACCAAATGAATCAGCAGTCTGCATTGAAGAATCTTGTGAAATTCAACCTGAATGGTTTTCCACAGAATGGTCTGAGGTTAGATATATTCATTCACTCTTTCATTCACTCTTTCATTCACTCACTCACTTAATTACTAGTCCCTGTTTGGATCTTGTCGGAAAAACTGATTAGTTTCACCTCTGTACTTCTGTGTATCTGCCTGTCTGTTCATACCTGTATCAGTCATGCCTAGGCAAATTTAATTGAAACTTCACGCATACAAATGTACATCATACAGTGTGTCATACATATATGCACATTCATTTGTTTCATAATTCAATTCAAGATGGCCGAATAGTGTCCATTTTGATTTAAATTCATTAAAAAATAAAGCACGTCTGCCTTTTCGGGAATGTACATTGGTATGTACATTAGGACCTTGATGCACATTGCTTTCTTTCCCTTATTGGGCCTGAAATGGTTACACCCCTGATTATATATATTACCAACAGGGACTATGTCATTTCAATGTCTTGAGTGTATATCATGTATATATTTAATTGACATCACCCACTATGGAAAGTGTTTGTGATGTAATCAGAGTATATCATGTATATTGACACCAATGAATTCATGTTTTCTTGGCAGTGTTCTAGGAGTTGTGGACGAGGAATAAAAAGACGTGAAGTTAAATGTTACTTAGATGACGTACCAGCGTCTGGTTGTGATTCTGATAATAAACCAGCTGCGGAGGAGGAATGTGAGCAACAGACATGTCCAAGTGGAAACCTAGGTAGGAACATCCACCACAACTCAACTCAAATCTGTCTAAACTGAAACTTGTCTATACTGATACTTGTCTAAACTGAAACCTGTCTATCATGTGACCTGTCTATCATGAAACCTGTCTATAATGATACCTTTCTAAAATTGTAACTTGTCTAAATTGAAACTTGTCTAAACTGAAACCTGCATGTCTATAATGAAACCTATTTTAAATTAAACCTCTTATGTTACCAGTCTAAATTGTAATTTGTCTATAATGATACCTGTTTAAACTAAAACCTGTCTGAAATGAAACCTGCCTATACTGAAATCTGTACATAACCTGTCTCAATTAATTGAAACGCACATTTTACACAAATCTCACATTTTATGTAACAAAAGTTGATTTATCCATTATTTTCTCCTTTTTCATGCTCTGTTCAACTGCATGTTGGTAACCCTCCACTTGTGGTTGCTGTGATACTATCTCCATGGTGATAACAGAAGAAGACTGTGAGGACAATCCAACTGCCAATTGTGCCTTGGCATTCGATCTTGATCTGTGCCAGCATTGGTATTACGAAAAGGCATGCTGTGGCTCGTGTAAATCAAGAAAACGTTGATCTGACAACACTGTCATTATAAATATACTGCCATACAAGTTTTACCACATTTTTCTGTTTCTGCCATATATTTATATTATTTCAAAGCTAGTTCTACTTTTTCAATTTCACTTGGAATTAACACTCCAAATTTCCATTACTGTTATATATAGTTTTGTATATAATTTAGGACTTAACTGTACTGATATTGATGTCAAAACTGTTACTTTTGATCGCATTGACAGTCATTATGCCGATTTTTCAAATACGTATTTTCGACATTGCAGGTCAATAAACATGCCTTGAAGCTGACTTTAAAAAACTAGTAGGTGGAACATTTCACTATCTTGTTGACTTTGATCGTGAATAAATGGCTTTTTAAAATTACCATATACAAATATATAGTAAAAACCTGTGTGTTTGTTTTTATTTGTAGGCGATTGTTTTATTTTATGTTACTTGCTTGGTTACAAAAGTCTGGTTGGCAAGAACTGGTCCCACATTATCGTAAAATCTGTATTAGAAGCTGCATCCCTAATAGAAGTTGCACCCATTTTTTTAGAATAATTGAGAACCAAAAGCCACATCTCTATTGCATTGTACCATTTTAAGCTGCGGTTTCTAATACAGATTTTACAGTATATAGTGGCATTGTTCCTGTTAATAAAATAACTCATGGGTAATATTGTTGAAAACATATGACACAGTGTGTCGGTTTATTAACCATGACAATAAATTTATTGCAGCATCATGAAGAATGAGGTGGTTGCACTTTTGTCGCTATGGAAACTACCAGTATGTATAACATGGGATAAAATGTACAACTTTCGTCCATTCTTTGGAAAATTAGCATATTCAGATTAGCAGCATGCTATAATTATCGACCAATCAGTGTAGACGCTCACAGACAATGAAGGGAAATCGTATATCAAACCAGTTCAGAGTGGGCAAGGGGTCAATCATTAGAAATCATGGGGGGGGGGGGGGTGACCAGGGCAATTTTTTTTTTTCATGGTGTCTTGTCTGAACATTCTTATGCCAACAAGTTTTGCCTGCAGCCACCTCCATGATTTCAAATGGCAAAATTGTTGACAATAGAAGTTGAGGGCGCTGTCCATAAGTTATTGATAATTCATGAACAGCAAATGGATATAATTTCAATATAGCAATTGGTATTATCATATGCATGACATTTTCCATGTTCTGGTAAAATAACAGATTGACGAATAAGAGCATGGATCATGCATGAGCCGAGACGGTCCCAAGTGGGTCCCGACTAACGTGAACACAACTGCTGTAATCCCTCTGCAAACACAAAGGATTAAACATTTCAGCATGTGCCGAGATCCCATAAAATGAATGAATGTAGCAATTGCTCCCAGATTATGTAAGATTTAATCTTAGATTTTTCTCACATTTGGTGGGATTCTGTGATTTTATTCAAACTTTGTACACATTTGATGTGATAAGTATTACCAGAAGGGTACTTTTTCAATTTTTTGATTCATGTACATTAGTAGTATTTTGGGAAACTTCTGGTCAAAAGAAGCCTGTTTCTGATAGAAAAAAATGTTTACCACATCATAACACTGAAATTCTTTGACAGATTTTCACAAAATTACATACAGAAGTGTATCACTAAAGCTACAGATCCACGTCAATTTTGTTTTGGGATCTGTGCATGTTATCGTTAATTTTTTGAAAAAAAGTGTGTGCCACACACTTTGACTTATTTTCACGAAAATTTTGTTCAATTTTGTTTTTGATTCTGTACATGTTGAAATTATTAAGTAAGGTTTATATCTATATAAAGAGTTTATGTGTGTAATTAGTTTGGAAAGAAAACAGTGAAATAAAATAGCAGTATTGGCTCATCACTTTATATTTTGCTTTATTTCACTATTTTAGGTTTCAATATACAATAAAACGGACAAATACTGCAAATTCTCAACAAAAATTAATATATATTAAATGCAAATCCACAAAAAAAGGAAACTTAAGAAAAAAAAAATCTCATTTTCTGACAGAAGTACAAAAATATAGGTCAGCATTCTTTATGCTTAGAATTTTATTTTGAATATTGATTCAGAATATTTTTATTCTTATCAGTGAGTCTGAATCAGAATTTAATTCTAATAACATTAAGCATTTCGCTACCTGTCATAGCGGCTTGATATCTTGAGTATAATTTTTAACGGTAAGAAAATTAAAAAAAAAATTAATTATTTTGTCACCAGGATTATGTTAAAATTGAATCATACTGTAAATTAGCAATATTTTCACAATAAATCATTTGTGACAATACATGAATGTCTGAATATGACTTAAAAGGTTAATTTCTGTACCTGCATTAATAGTTTCATGTCAGTTTGCATGAAACTTGGTTTGTCACCCAGAAATGCACTCTGCCTAACTTTGTATGCCAACCCACAATACAGTCTACCTAACTTTGTATGTCGACTAATAATACAGTCTACCTAACTTTGTATGTCGACTAATAATACAGTCTACCTAACTTTGTATGTTAACCCACAATAGTCTGCCTAACTTTGTAATATCAGCCCACATTACATCCTACCTAACTTTGTAATATCAGCCCACAATACAGTCAGCCTAACTTTGTATGTCAGCCCACAATACAGTCTGCCTAACTTTGTATGTCAGCCCACAATACATTCTGCCTTACTCAAAATTGTTGTCTCATACGTAAATCTTTATGAGGTATAAAATCTTAACTCTAATGACAGCAAATACTTTTTCCAACAATCTATTACAGTAAATTGTGTTTTTGAGAGGTAAATACAGAATTGTTAAGTTATACAATATTCAAAATGACAACTTTGTACAAATACACGTCTTAGAAATTTACAAATGAATATACAATATTTACATCTCTTTGAATTAATAAAAAAACAGAGCTGACTTAATACAATAAAAACTTTAAAGAAGTTTTTTTTTCATTAATGCTTCTAGTCATTATGGATAAATTTTAATAGATCAACATAAATTACCATATTTTCATATATGGTTATTTACTTTCTAAACACTGACAAATCATTGTTGAGGAAAAAATTGGAATGACATCTTGTTCTTTGTTTGGACATGCACATTTGCATACATTCTGTTCCAATTCAGCATAAGTGAATATATTTGTTGCAATAAATCTCACAATATTGACAATTTTAGATTATCTTTTTAAAAAACAAATATCTTTTTCTGTTCTTTAATTTTAAAAACACAATAAATTCTTGGTATTTTGCTGAGCGAAAGATTACATCAAAATAAATGACAAAGAGCAAATAAAAAGAAGGGGTAGCCAAACTTGATTCCACATAACATTAAACCCTACTTTGGCAGCCATGTTGGATTGGAAAAACAGTGGCCATGTTGGATTGGAAAAACAGTGGCCATGTTGGATTGAAACACGGTGGCCATGTTGGATCGGAAAAACAGTGGCCATATTGGATTGGAAAAACAGTGGCCATGTTGGATTGAAACACGGTGGCCATGTTGGATCGGAAAACGAGCAAAATACATGTAATTGTAATCAAAACATAAGTATCCCAAGTGTTTTTTCAGAATATAAAACAAATAATAAAAGAATAATGCGGAAGGTTTCAGGAAATTCTTCTTCCAAAACAATTGATGAATAAATAGTGAATGTGTTAAATAAATAGTGGAAATGTTGAATGGTGAATTTCAAACTGATTTTAATTAAGACTAATGCTGAGAAGCAAACATATACTGTACCAGTATACTGTACGTAAATACTGGGAAGTAAATATCTCATTGCGCTTACAAAGTGGTGTTTGGATGTGAGCGCCCTCTATGGTGTATTTTCTTTTAATATTGTTTTTGTTTTTGAAATATTTCACCTTGAAATTTTTGTAACTCTAATGTAATACAAGTTTCTATTTTCAGACTACAGTCTGCGGTGTATAGTTTGTAACTGTAAAAAATACTTGGATACTCCCTGTATTTGGTGCATTTGGTAACATTCAATACAAGGAGCTAAAACGTGAAAATATGTACTCCTTTTATTAAATGAAAATTTAACGGTTTTGTAAATTTCCTTGAAATTGATTTTAAATGGTTCTTTTTTTTTGTACTTTTGAGAAGTTACAGATTTTTGCCATACTACTAGTGGGAATTCTTCACTGACATCATAAGCAGTCTCAAGAATTATCCCTAGTATCTAAAATTAAACAACGGTGGTCGTCGCGCAGCCTCTGTTCATATTTTGTGGAAACAAACAATGTATTTTACATACGTTGTGTACATCACTATGGCTCCTACATCGAACACAGCACAGTGCAACGACCACCACACTTCAACATTGAAATCCAAAAGATTCAAAATGGCCACTCTGGAGGTTTCAACATTAGGGATCAGTATGTTGATTTCATACTCTGAACAGATTCGCCGTGTATATTCAAAGAATCTGCGTTAATTGCTGTTACAAAGTTGAAAACCTTCAGGCATGTGTGTACGAATCATTCGATATATTGTCTTACAGTGCAATCATTCTGATTTCCCTTCAAGAAATCTTGAATATCAGCCGTTGATATCAGAGAAAAATATAAAACAAATAATATAGACATAACTGTAATTTACATGGTATAAATATGTATATATAATTGTTCCTCCTACAGATTAGCCCTCAGCATTTAGGTTGTACTGCTATTAAGTGGTTTGGTGCTCTTGTCTGATTTGTATTCCTGTCATCGTTGTTTTAATGTACTGTCTGATGCATCATTCGTGATCTCCAGCATCTATAATATCATTCGTGTCGTCTTGGTTACCATGCATATACTGCTGTACTGCAAAGCAAAGAATAGGCTCTGTTAATGTATATTGATAAGGGGCAGACCATTTAATGAGGAGGGGGTATTGAATACAGAACATGTTACATCAGGGTTCAAATGTAAGGGGCAGACCATTTATTTAGAGGGAGTGTTAATTATTGAAGATAATACATTAGCTTTCAAATGTAAGGGGCAGACCATTTAATGAGGAGGGGT